AAAATAAAACACTAGTAATACATATTGAAATAGTAAACTGTATTATAGTGTATATTCTGTATATATACACCCATAAATTGCAATTCAATTAATTTTTATTATACACACCAACGATATTAAATTGTGTCCTATTATATTATATTGGGGTTGTTTTTTGTTATTATTATTATTATTATTATTGTGTGCACACTTGTTAATTAAATTGCCTCAATAAAACTTGCATTTAGTTTAGACTACTATAAGGTAATATATTACTACTACTACTACTACTATGGTATCTTTCACGACAACAAAATAATAATATTATATAATTTTTTAAGCTAATAATAAAATAGTTATACCATTATAAAAAAACCTACAAGTGCAATTTTGATTTTATAAAGTACCTGTATTTTTTTAAGCATGATTAAWTTTTCAAGTTAATTATTTAAAAATATATTTTTTTAGTGATACTTATGTATATAAATTTATATATATATATCATAACAGTATAGAATCTATACTATCATATAAAGAGTACTTATAATATCAAAATAAAATAAAATTTTTAAAAAAAGAAAAAACTATTTAAAAAAAYATTTTATTTTMTATTTACTACAAAATTGTTAAGTGTTTATATTTAAATTTTGATATAATATCATATAATAATAATAATAATAAAAATATTAATAAACTTGTTTACAGTAAATTGACTTTTAATGTACTTTAATAATACTAACGATATCTATTTTTTACTGTCATTATGTAATTATTTTCAAATATTTTTTGAATAGAAAATAAATATTATATACAATATAAGATTAAATATATATATATATAATTTATTTTWAAAAAATTAATCTATAAAATTAATTAAAATAWAAAATATTCAATCTAGTACATTTTATTTTTAAAAATATATTCTATACAAAAAATGTTATTTTTTTATAAATTATTGTATATATATATTATATTATTGAATATAAATACTGTATATTTTATATATAAAGATTAATATATATTTTCAATAAAAATAAAAACTAAAAAAAATATAAGAATATATTATATTATTTAAAAAAAAATACAAATAACAAAAATAATAATACACTTTCGTAATACCCTTTTTATTATTTGTTTATTTATTGTGATATTTCATTTGAAAACTTTAAYAGTATTAGTATTCAACAATATATATATATATATATATAGATATATAATAATATCTTTCAATATATAATCACATGTTTTGTGTGTAGAGATGGTAAAAAACAGAAATTTATTAATAAAATTTCACTAAAAAAAATTTTCTTATGAAGTTTTAATTTATTATTTTAAATTATAAGATTCCACATATYTATAGATATTATTATTATACTAATTATTTTTTTTACACTACACTATTAAACAAATGAGATTCATATACATAATTAAATTAATATAAYTATTTAATTATAATTWTTTTTTAAATAAATATTTTATTATTTTATTGRAAAATTAATTAAAATACTACTACTAATAATTATTTTTTAGTTAGTATTTTTCTAATTATTATTATTATTATTTTATTTTGTTATTAGTTAACAAATAAACAAAATTAGCATGGAGATCCTAATAGGGACWGAAATTTTTGTTAGGAAACTTTTATAGAATTTTTTTTATTATTTTAGAAAATTTCTATTATTTTTTTTTGACAACACATTGTGTGTGTGTGTGGTTTGCATGAATTGTTTGTCTATAGGATTACTTACACAATATTAATGTATTAAAGTTTATATATATATATATAACAGTGAGTTTTGTGTTTGTAATAAATGATATTAAGTTGCGATAAATATTTATAAAAAATATTTCTATTTTCAGTATCTTTTATCACTTATTTTTTTCTTTATATATAAAAAATCTATATATAAATACTGTATTATATTATAGTTTCATAGACTTTCATATATGCAAAATATTATACTATTAATATTATAAATAAAAACTCTTTTAGTTTACAATTATTATTTTTTTGATATTATATTATTGATATTATTGTCAAGTATTTGTGAATTTTATATTAAACATTTATATTGTTATCATTATTATTATAAATTATTATTGATTGTTTATTTTAAGTCATATTTTTCAAAATTAAAACTAATATTGATATACCGGTAAATTTTTAAATTATATAAAATCAAAACAAATTTAAAAATAAAAATTATTTATAAAAATATTTGTTTACCTAAATAAAGTATATAATAAATATTTATTTAATATCTATATCATTATAATAAAATAGCTATATTTATGTTAAAATTGTTTGTAATAAAAGTAAATTTATCAGTTATTAGATTTTATATGTTATATATATATTATAACATTAATAATAATACTGTATATAAATAGTTTATTTACTTTACAACAAATAATATTTCAATACATTATTGAATTTATATGAACATAATAAAAAATAATTGATTATATATATAATGTACATAATATATTTGTATTTATATATATTTAAACAGTATATTTT